GTTGGAAGGGATTGAAAGGGGATAACTGGCATTTAAGTTTATAAAGCTAGCTATATGTCTTGTTTGTTTGTTTAGTATAGGGTTTTACGGCGCTCGCAACTGCTTAAGGTCATATGAGCGCGCGGGCTATATGTCAAAATTTTTTGTTTGTCACGTGATGGCAATATATTCCTTGTTTTCTTCCTCTGGTAAATGGCCATTACTGTGTATGTACTGGTCTTCAACTCAGGCTCTACACATTTATGATTATCTTTGTAAGTTTAAAAGTTGGTTTAACCTTTTCGTCACTGGAAGTTCAGCCTTCAGCATGAATTTCATGCTATAGTGTGCAGCACGAAAAACAACCTGAGTTTTTTAGTAAAGGCAAAGTGTTTTCATTGAACAAAAATTGTATAAATGTGTAGTTCTAGTTAGAGCCTGGTATATAACACATGCTTCTATCCCAGTGTAGTCGGTGCCATTCAGCGCTTTTGTGCGTATGTCAGTGGCGTCTGTGGCCTTGTGGTTAAACTCTTGGACTGGCAACTGGAACGTCTTGGGTTTGAATCCTGTCAGGGGCCTGGGGTTGTGTCCATGGGAAAAGCACTTCACTTGAATTTTCCTCACTTCACTCAGGTAGGAATAGGTACCCAGCTATAAACAGCAAAATATCTTGTTTTTTTGTGATTGAGGGCTTAATGAGCCGCTTGCACTGTATGGTTCTTCTTTCTTCTTCTTCTCGATCGCATCACACTTGAAGTCTGGTATCCGTCATAAATTGGGCCGTCCTGCTTAGTTCATCTGTTGGCCCATATAGCTTCTCTTGTAGCGTCAGTGGGGTTGGCCACGTTTCCTGTCTCAGGGCCCTGTGTGTCTTGCAGTGCTGAAGGATGTCCTCGTCTCCTGGCGCTCCAAGACGATGGAAGGCCCTCCAGTCGCTAGGGTGGACCCCTTCGAGGCTTGGGGCCCGGCACTGTACCTGCCTGGTGGGTCCTCACAGGGCGAGCACCACATCTAAAGTTACCTACTTCAAGTGTCATTTATTGCAGTATTACGTGGTATTGTGGTTCTCTAGAGTGCGCCTTGCAGCCCAATACCTCCGATTTCAGCACTCCAGCTCCAGGTCCAAGGACCTGGGAGCACAGGGAGGAATTATTACCGGATCCCACCTGTAGCCGGGACTTAATGCAGTCCTTTTCCGCTTGATGCTCCCGTCAGAGGACTCCGAGGGCATTTAATGACGTGGTAGTGCCACCTACCACCTCACCTCGTCCTGGTAAGAGCATCGCCAGATGGTCCGGGGCTGCTTATTTAACATATTCACAGCTAACCTCCATTACAGTAGCCGTTCCCTATCGGCCACCTGGGACCTGCCGGGTCATGGATGGTCGCCCCAGCCCGGACTGTATGGTTCCTTGGAAGCCGAGAATTTTTCTTAATGTTCTACGGTCTGCTTGGATAATAATAATTTAGTGCATATAGCTTGCTGTAGAGTGGGGATATTCGTTATACAAATACTAGCCTATTTATTATTTTTTATAACTGTTTTTATGTGTGTTGCAGTCAGCTTCAACAGTCGGAGGAGGCCAGGGAGACGGAGACAGCTGACCTGACTGCAGTGACCAACGAGTTCACCGCCAGGCTCAGTGAGTCGGAGAAGAAGATACAGCAAGTGCTGAAGGTGAGGGAACAGCTGGAGAAACATTGGTCATTCGTTCTTTCTTTTTTTTTTCTTTCCTACTATTTGTCTTTATTTTTCTGCCTTTCTTCCTTTTTTTTCTTTTTTTTTTTTTCTTTATGATTTCTTACTCATTCTTCTTTCTGTCTTTCTTTTTTAGTCTGTCTCTCTTTCTTATTCATATTGACTGTTTTGTGTAAGACTCCAAAATATGCCATTTTGAAAAGTGACGTATGACAGTCTTACACTGTACAGTCGATGTGGTTTGCTTTGTTCTTCTATGTTTTTTTTTTTTCTTTTCCCCTTTAATCATGTTCAAAAGTGCCAGTTTCGAAACACAGATTTCTCGTGATTTATTTACCCGCCTAGACCATAAGTAAGAACCACCATTCACTACTGTAATGAACTCTTTGGCCTATAGCTGTTTGTAGGGAAATTCCCTTATTTGTGTTCTCCATTCCCTTCTTAGGTTTGGACTTGCTTGGTTTGTGCATTGCTTTGATGATATTTGAGTGTTAGGCGAGGTGTTTCATGTAAAACCAGAGACCACACTTGGCTTGAGAATGTTACTGATCTATTGACATGTGAATGTGACAAGGTGAGCAACCACTGAAAGAGAAATTTTCTTATTTTTCTCAGGAGAAGGAGAACGTGAAGCAACAGCTGGGGAAGACAGAGGAAGAGCTGAAGAAAAGGTTTGTACTGATGATGATGTCAGATAGAAAGAGGAGAAAATGTCTGGGTCTTAACCACACTAAGGATGAGATCCGATTGGAAGATGAACAAAGATTTGAGTCTTAACTCTACTGATGAAGAGATCAGACCTTGTCAAGATTTAACAAATTGTTTTGTGTCTTTGCTATATTAGTAGTCAGTGTTCTTTTGACAGCTTGCCATTTGATTGATAAGCCATGTTGCCATATTGTAGATGGAGGAAAGGTCATCGCTCGTCTCCGGTTTGACTGTGTCCAGTTTGTGTCAACCAAGTTTTTTTTGTGAACATTGTGTTGAAAGTGTGTTCTATTGTTCATTTGGTGTAGCTGAGTCATAAATTAGTCTTTGTGTCTACAGCATACTGTTATGTCCACAATGTGTTACTTCATCTGCATCATGTTTGAATGAAAATGGTATGGCAGGTGGAAGGCAGGTGCTCTGGTGTGTTTTGCTCCTTCTTTCCTATTGTCTTTCACCTATCATCCTTATCCCTCCACATTTTTTTGTGTTTGTTACTCTTTAGTGACACCCCTAATCTCTAGCACTTATATGACTTTATTGTTTTGCAAGTGCTGTAAACAGTTAGTAAAACAAATATAATGGTATGTAGTTGTGTCTACTGTGTGTCCTCATTCAACACTGTAATTATTTAAAACAGTGTGTCTTGGTATCAACAGTGTGTCACTTTGTGAGCAGTATGTTATTTTGTTAATAATACATAGTATTGTCTTGTCCATAGCAATTGAGATGAGTGCACATCTGACCTCTGTGGGTGGCTGGTGAGTGCTCTGGTGTGGTTTGCTCCTTCTTTCCTGTCAAACATCTATCGTCCATATCTCTCCTCCTCCTTTCTTGTGTTTGTTACTCTCTTGTAACACCCTTATCTTTGACTTTTATATAACCTCATTGTATTGTAAGTACCGGAAAACTCCTACTATAACAAACAAACAGTTTTATCAGAGCCCGGGTTCACACCCCACTGTATTGTCCCACTTTCCCCACAGATCTGCCAACGTGGACCTGGAAGCTGAGCTGGAGGAGAAGACAGAGCAGGTTGAGCAGCTAATGGCAGAGGGTAGGTGGTTCAAATCTGGGTCTGGCTGTTTTATGCCTTACTAACACTAGATTCGTGGGTGGTTGCCGGTGGTCTGGTGTGGTGTGCTTCTTCTTTCCTATGAAACATCTATTGTCCTTATCTCCCCTTCTTCTTTTTTGTGTTTGTTACTCTCTTGTAACACCTCTTATCTTCTGGCAGTTGCAAGCACCCAAAACCTCTACTAAAACTAAAAAACACTAGATTCTGTTATTGGTCTTCTCACATATCTCGCTGCTCACTAGTGTTCATACTTCTTCACTCACACCAGACATTTCCTTCTTTATCTGCACACACAAACGTTGCTGCACACCTGTGGGGGTTAGAGGGTGTCTCTGAGAGACATCACCTTTTTTATGTTTATATTCAGTGAAACTTTTTTCTACCTGCCCTCTTAAAAATGAAATGTGCATTGTAGATGTAGTGTTTATAAGAAGTTAACCTAGGGCTTGGGATCTAGAAAAAGTAGGCTGCTTTGTAGCATCAGTAAAGACTAATGAATGGGATCAAAGGGTATTGTAATTTTGGAGTAGTCGCATCAATTATTGCTTTTGCCAACTTAAGTAAATGCTTTGCCTTTTAATTCTCCTGTTTTCATGTTTCATATCATGATTAGTATTCATTAATTACTTTTATTTGCTTTTTCTCTCTTAATCAAGATTTAGTTTGTTACTGAAGAATGTGAAGTTTAGACAATTTTGTGTGTATACATTTCCTTGTTATCAATAGTGACCCCGTCCTTCATTTGTCTAGAAATATGTCAGCCTTAACCTTTCATATGGACATGCTTTATTTCCTTATTTAACCTGAATACAGTGTTTTTCAGGGAGTCAAAATGAATGTAGTTAGGCTTTTGTTCAATATATCATTGCCGTAGAACTATTTTGTCCAAAGCGCACTCTACAGTTAAGTACCCTTTGGACATAATAATTATGACGCAACAATATGTCTCTCCTATTTAGATTTTATAAGGTAATTTTTGTAAGTTTAGTGTCTTAGTTTATAGCTTGTGATGTGGCAATAATCTGAGAGATTGTGGGGTGATGTCAGCTTATCGACCCGTTATGGACCTGATCTAATTGTATTGAAAAGAGCCGTAACATGTCAGTGTTGATTTTCCTTATGCCTGTGCCATGTTGTTTTGTGCAGGTGAGAAGCTGAGTCGTCAACAGCTACAGAGCAACAACATCATCAAGAAACTGAGGGCCAAGGAGAAGGAGACAGAGACAACTATCACAGGCCAGAAGTAAGTCTCTGTTTGGCGGTATTGGGGGGGGGGGGAATAGGCCAGGGGGAGAGGATGGAAAGTGAGTACGGTACTAGTAGGGATGGAAAGGAGGAAAGAAGGGGAAGGAGGAGGGGATAAGAAGAGGGTGAGAGAGAAAGGAGGGGGAGGGGAAGGGTGCCAGAGAGGGGGAGGAGGGGAGACGGCTTTGTTGAAGTTAGTTTGTTAAAGGAATTATTATGGTTGTTGCCCACTTTTAGTTTACTTGGTCCTTTAGGAAATGGATGCAAGACTTCTTAAATGAATTTATTATATTGAAAGTGGAGTTAAATCAGCACAGTACAAACAGTACAATAATACTCATAGGACCTAACACTACCTGAAAATGTAAGGATTTATCAGAAGTTAAGCGTGTGTGCACCCTCAGGAAAAAACTGGAGACTCAGACAGCAGAGCTGGAGAGACTGACTGTGGTGTTGGACTCAAAGGAGGAGATGGAGAAAACACAGGGAGGTTAGTACATTGTGTGTGTATGTGTGTGTGTGTGTATGTATATGGGTGGGTGCGTGCGTGCGGGTATGTGCATTCATGTGTGTGTTGGACTGTAAGGAGGAGGCGCTGAAAACTCGGGCAGGTGTGCACATAAATGTGTTTATTTGTGTGCATATGTGTGTGTGTGTGTGTGTGTGTGCGCGCGTGTGTGTATGTTAGTCTGTGCATATTTATGGTTTTTATGTCTGTATGTATGCCCATACTAGTTTGCTACTACAAAATTATGTCCTTATTTTTCTTTTTGTGTGGAAAAACACAAATGAACAAACAGTAGGGTTGGGTTGGGCTTGCAAAATTAGCGTCCGCGAGTAACGAACTACTCGTTGGCACTACCCGCAAACGAGCGGACGGATAACAAACTGTCCACTTGTGAAGAGTAGTTCGCTACTCACTACTCGCTACACATCGGGCAGAGACAACAGCTTGTTTAGCGAGCGGGCGGACGGGCGGACCGAGAGACTCCGTGCATTCGAGCGGGCGGACGGACGGATGGGAACGACTCCTTCCATTGCCTACAACTTACAACCCCCTCCCCCCCCCCCTCCAAAAAAAAAAAAATTAATTAAAAAATCACCCTCCTACCTCACATTGTAGCTAGGCGTTCATGGCAGAAATTCCCCCCCCCCGGCCTTTGCGATAATTGGAACGTACACAGTGTGCCTCACGCACGAGGTGAAAGGTTACACACAAAGTACTACGTCACCAGCTTCTCTCACTCCCTGTGGCACCGCTAGTGGTTTGAAACATCAGGCCTAATTAACAAACAATAGACGATGGGTCTAATCTCGCGTCGAGTATCTCGTCTGCTAGAGTTCGTCCGTTCGCCCGCCCGCCCAGTGAATAAAATTGTGGAGCGGACCCAAAAAACGAACTGACTTGAGGCTTGAAGTCCGCAGTCCGCTCGCTGAGAGAGTCAAATTGTGGAGCGGACCCAAAAAACGAACTGTCTTGAGGTTCGCAGTTCGCTCTCAAGGCCGTCCGTTACCCGTTCGCTCTGACTGAGTCCACGAGTAACGAACCCATTCGTCCGCTCGCCCCAACTCTAACAAACAGAACCATCCGTTTCTACATGTAGTCAACATGAGCTTGCAGATATTGATTATTTCTTCTTTTCGCAACACAGACACTATCTGTGTCATCTGGTCTTTGTGTGTTTCAACCTATCACTGTGTGTGTGACTTCTATCCCTGTGTGTATCACCCTTGCCCCATTATACATCATTCCTTTCTATGTTTCACTCAGCCCTGTTTGTATCTCTCCTGTCCATATGTCACCCCTGTGTGTATCCCCATATCTCCCTGTGTGTATCCCCATATCTCCCTGTGTGTATCCCCGTGTCTCCCTTTGTTTATCCTAGGGCTGGGCAATGAGTAGATTTAGCAAAATCCGGATAATATGTCAGTGCACCTTTTCGGTAGATAATATGTTATGAACCGATTCGGCAAATGAGTTAGAACCACTTCGACAAACGGATTAGAATCATTTCAACAAATGGGTGCACCCACTTCGGCAAACGAGTTAGAAAAGAGAGTTTAAGAGTCTGAGTTCGAATAATGTTTCATTAAGAATTATCCTATTATCTGGATATTTATCCGGATTTTGCCAACCTCTAGTTTATCCCCATGTCTCCCTTTGTGTATCCCTATGTATCCCCTTATCTCCCTGAATGTATCCCCATATCTCCCTGTGTGTATCCCCATATCTCCCTGTGTGTATCCCCATATCTCCCTGTGTGTATCCCCATATCTCCCTGTGTGTATCCTTATGTGTCCCTGTATGTATCACCATGTGTCCCTGTATGTATCACCATGTCTCCCTGTGTGCATCACCTTTGTCCATGTGGCACTCTTGTGTGTCTCCCTGTGTGTATCACCTTTGTATATCTTTGTGTTCCCCAGAGGCCATCAATCAGCTCAATGCTGCAGTGCAGAAACAAGAGAAGGAACTGAGCAAATTGAGGGTAAGTCCAAGGCACAACATGAACAGTTCATCGGCCTAATTAATGTTCTGGTAATGACTTATTTGCACAGGATAAATGGTTCCAACGGGTTGCCCAAGAAGTTGCAAGTGTATTGTATCAAGTTGCAAGTCTGAGTCAGTGGGTGGTTGGCGGGTGCTCTGGTGTGGTTTGCTTCTTCTTTCCTATCAAACATTTATCGTCTTTATCTCCCCTTTTTCTTTTTTATATTTGTTACTCTCTTGTAACGCCTCTAATCTTCTGGCGCTCATATGACCTTGTGCAGTTGCGAGCACCGTAAAACCTCTACTAAAAAAAACGAACAAGTCTGAGTGACCTATGACCCAGTGATGACTGACATTCTCTCGTTTGGTCATCAGCTTTTCATAGATAAATAACCTTCTGAAAGAGAGGGTTGTTTAAAACTGAGCTTGGGTCCCTCAATACAATCTTAGTTTGTTTTTTAGCTATTTTTGTTATACTGCTATCAAGTTTCGACTTGCAGAGCTACTCTGGATAATGAAGTGTCTATTTCTGTGTGAATTCATTGTATCGTCCTAGATATTTAGCTTTTAATGGTCCCAGCTTCTGATTTTTTGGAAATACACCCCTCTTACATAATATTTGATCAACGTGTGTAATCACGTGGACTTGTACTATTGTCAGAAATATTCTGTTTGTTGAGTTAAACTCACCCCCCCCCCCCCCCAACAGGAAAATCAACATTTATATCATGTAGCATTCTTGTCTTGCCTTTCATGTGACCTTTGACCTGTGAAGAGTGAGCTGGAAGATTCCCAGGAGAAATGCCGTGGTCTTCAGGCAGCGCTGGACAACTCCTACAAGTAAGTGGCCTTCTCTTCAGTGATCAGATGGTCACTCTGTTGTGCTAATGCTCTAATGCCTGCTCAGTCCAGTCCATACTTTTAGGTTTTCACTAGTTCTCTTGAAAGATGATAAATTGTAAAGTACAGAGAACCTACTTTGTAGTTGGGATTTGTGCTATATGATATCATTATTGTTTTTGTTGATATTATTACTGTAGTTTTTATTATTATTGTTATTGTTATATTTTTATTATTAATATTATTGTAATCATCTTTATTATTGTCATTAATTTTTTTCAAATGAAAAAAAAAATATTAGACTTATAATTTATTTCTGTTGTTTTATGTGGTGTCAGGGAGATAGCGGAGCTTCACCGGTCCAACGCTTCTCAGGACAGCAAGGCCCAGGAGGCTGCCCTCAGTGCCGAGTCTCACGTCAGGGAGGAGCTGAAGGCGGCCATGGAGCGGGAACAGCAAAGGTTTAGGCAGGAGAGAGAGGCCTTTATCATGCAGGTGGGTGGCAGGGGAGAGAAGGGGGATAGAGAATAAGGGAGGGAGGGAGGAGAGAAGGAAGGGTGGGAGGAGAGAGAAAAGGGAGGGTTTGGAGGGAGGGGGAGAGAGATGGGAAGAACGAATGGCAGAGGTTAAGAAGGTGGAGGGGTAAGTTTGTTGTTATAATCTCATGTTCTCTCACCATTTAGGTTGGTAGTTTTACTTTCCAGTATTCATGGTGCCTTAAATCTGAAACTATTCTCGAATTACCTTGTGGTCATTTCTCAAGCTCTTCCCTTGTGACTTGTCTGACCTTTGACATTCCAGGCTGATGACCTCCGGCTGGACATGACTCGGCTGGAGAAGGAGCACAGCAGGAGAGAGGAACTGCTCAGACAGGAGATCACACATCTACAGGAGGTAAGAGAAGACGGTGTGTGTGTGTGTGTATGTACGTGTGTATGTGTGTTTGTATATTTGTGTGTTTGTGTGTGAGTATGTGTGTGTGTGAATATGTATGTGTGTGTGTGTGTGTGTGTATGTGGAGGGGGGATGAGGGGCTCCTGAGACATGAGATTACTTGAAAGGTGGGAGAGACTGAATGTGTGTGTGTGTGTGTCCTTCTGAGATATGAGACCACACATCTACGGAAAATGAGATAGTATGATGGTGGTGGGTTGGGGTGGGGGAGGAGAGAGATTCCTGAAACATATCACTGACACTGTTCAGCACATCGCTGTGTGTTGTTTGCCTTGTGTACTGCAAAATACAACACTCACAAGTTAACTGGGCGTCTCCTGTGTCTTCCAGCGTCTGCAGGAGGGCGAGTCGCGCAGTCAGGAGCTGAGCCAGACAGTGAGCTCAGCCACACGGCCCCTTCTGAGACAGATTGAGAACCTGCAGGCCACATACGGGGCACAGGCCACAGCATGGGAGAAGGTGGAGAAGAACCTCACAGATAGACTGGGTGAGTCATAAGTTGTATGTGTGTAAGGGGGGAGGGCATAACTGGTAAGGACAAGTCAGGTGTGTGTCGGTGACACAGCATTTAGAGGGTGACGGTTGCCAGTTCTTGAACAACACATGATAACCCTAGCTCAAAAAGAGGGAGTTGTGCAGTAGCAACCAGCAATGATGTGTGGATTGTATCTGTGTGTGCTGGGGGTGGAGGGGGGGTGCCTTGGGGAAAGAGGGGGTTCCTTCTTTTCTTCTGCTCTTATTTCACCTTCTATTCCTCTTTAAAATAGAAAAATAGATACAGTTGAAACTTTCTAAGGCCACCACCCATTGTGGAGGAGAAAAGTGTTGTCTGAGAGAGGTGGACAGTGTCATTATAAAGGGAAAAAATATACAAGGGAAGAAACGAGAAGTGGCCGTTTGTATAGGTGATCGTTTTATACTGGTGGCCATAAGATCAGATGACTATGTTTATATGTCTGGGGGGACAAGGATTCACGCTGTCTGGAGAACTTCATTTTTGTACTCCCCATCCATTGGAAGACCCACCTCAGAGTTCAGAGTGCTGGTGGTTTTGATAATTAGATTAGTTGATTTAATTGGTCTGTCTCTTCCTTTTCACAAGGAGCATCTGAATAATTGAAAAATTTGTTGTGGCAGAGTCTTTAGAAGAACCAAAGTTAGGATCATAATTTGTGGGCTGTATGTAAAACTTTTGATCGCCTTTTAGTTTTAGTAGAGGTTTTACGGCGCTCGCAACTGCATAAGGTCATGTGAGCGCTAGAAGATTAGAGCTGTTACAAGAGAGTAACAAACATAAAAAGAAGAATGAGAGATAAGGACGATAGATGTTTGATAGGAAAGAAGAAGCAAACCACACCAGAGCACCCGCTCTCATCTCCATCACAAGTAAAAACTGCTTAACTCTGTTTTTCAGGGTGTGAAGTAGTTCAGAGTTCCTCATTTTTCTTGTGATAGTGAAGATATATAACTAAAACAAGAAGTAACTAATATGTCGGTCATTCGCCTCCCCCCCCGTCCCCATTCAGCGGAGGCCCAGACAGCAGTAGCCATGGCCCAGGAGAAGGAGCGTACCGGGAGCGAGCGTGTGATGGAGTTGTCTGCCCGTGTGACTTCCCTGGAGGCCAGCAACAGTCGCCTCAAGCAGGAGAAGGCACAGTTGGTGGCACAGGGAGAGGCAGACCGGGGCAGGCTGGAGGAGTTGGAAGATAACAGACACAGGTCAGTTGTTTGTGTGTGTTTCTGCGTGTGTGTGAGTGTGTGTCTGTCTGTGTGTGTGTGTGTGTATGTGCGTGTGTATATATGTATGTGTGTGTGCGTATGTGTGTGTGCGTACGTGTGTGTGTGAGTGAGACTCTCATTCTCACACTCTCTCTGTGTCTTTTTCTCACTTTCTGTCTTTCTGCATCTCTCTTATAAGTTGAAGGTTTATGTGAGAGATGATGATTTTTGTAGTCCGTTTGATGACCCCATCTCTCATCTACATCACAGACCAGTTGTGATACATTATGTGTACAGATATGTGATTTGTTTGTGTGTATTTGTGCAGTCCTCCTGCCTAGTGTCAAGTCCAGGGAGTAGTTCTTTTTTTCTCAAATAGCTGGCCACTCGACGTAATGTTTTTTAAATTTGCAGTAAAACTTAAAGAAGACCAAACCAAAATGTAGCAGTGACTCAAACCAGTTTGCATAAGTTGATATTGTTTTCACCCTCTCCCCTGCACATACTGTTAGGTGGATTGCTATCACCTTGGCTATAGTGCAAATGACACTGGTTTCAATCCCTAATAAGGTGTTCTTGAACCTGGGTTGTTCAGGGGGAGGGAGTATACAAGGCTTTGCACCGATAGCAGATGGACTTTAAATTCTTGTGCTCTGCCTCTATAGTAACCCTTTAGCGTTAAAAGGTGTGTTTAACATCTAATCGCCAATCACCCTCCCTTTATCTGTGTGTTGATGTGGTACTTTGGGTTTTTGTTACAGTGTTGTAGCGCAACTGGAGACAAGTCGACAAAGGATGGTGGAGGAGCTCAACCAGCTCAAGGTGGACAAGGTCAGTAGCATTCTTATCTCAGCAGCTGTCTTGGGGAAACCAGCCTACCATATCTATTTTTGGATACTTCAATCATTTCAACTCGCAAAGTAAAACCAAGCTGTGTTAGGAACTGTCATGAAAATAAACAGCTTGCGTCTTGCGTGCTCATATGACCTTATACAGTTGTGAGCACCATAAAACGTTAACCTAACATACAAACAAATAATTGTTTTTAAAAATCTCTGAGAAACAAGAGTGACCAGTCATTAAAATGTTGAATAGTGGGGTTCTGGGATATATACATTGTCTTTGAAGGAGGTGGGTAGTTGGGGGGCACAGCTGATAAACACATGTCGAGTGTGTTTCGGTGTCACAGCATTTAGAGGGCGATGGTCGCTAGTCCTTGAGCAACACAAGATAACCTTAGCCCAAAAAGAGGGTGCTGCATAGTAGCGACCAGCAACGATGTGTGGATTTTCTGTAATTGTGATATTGTGCATAATTCATGCTTTTATTATATTAATGTACTTGTGTATTTATGTTTACCACTGTAAAATAAGTTTCCCATGGGGATTAATTAAGTGGAAGTTTTACATTTTATTTTTGTTCTTGTTTAGTAGATATTATATTTCCAAAGGAGTGACAGCAAGACTGTCATGTCGCACTGTAGTGGTAGTTGAAACCAATACATGATGGTCTAAGCTTCAAGCTGTAGTTTGCGTGCTAAGGCACAAAGGCACCTTGTTTCATAAAAATTGTCATAATAAGTCACACATGTTTGTGTGTATGTGTTTGTGTGAATTGATATCATCATAACAAGTGACACCCAAGTATATGTATATGTCTACAGGTTCACTTGGAGTCCCAGCTGGGTGTGGAGAGGACACGGCTGGAGACGGAGATGAAGAAAGGCCTAGCTCTAGAAGAACAGCTGAGACTAGCGGTCAGTCCAGAGTATAGCACTGTGTGTTCATTACGATTGATTGTAAATGATTGATTGCAAACGTTTTTACACCCTCATTGACACAATTTAAAGTTGAAGAGTGGTATGTTTTTTAGTTCAAAACTGAAAAACTGTGGCTCTATATATTTAGATGATAGAATGTTAAAAAATAGCATATTATGACTTACTTAAAGACTAGGATCACTAATTTCCAATAGAAAAATGAGTACATAAAAAGTTTGTCACAGTGTGCCATGTCTGTCCACTGCAGATAGACTCTAGTGGGGGAAGGAAGTATGAGTGCTGTTAGGTAAGGCTCTAGAACTGTCTTGCTCTTGGATATCTTTTAAATTTGATTTGATTTTTTAAATCGCGTTTTGTATTTCTATTTTTTCTATTTGTGTGTTTGTTGTATTGTTTTTTTTATCCTTGTGCTCAAGATTGTTGTCCCACAGCTTATTCCAACAAACTGAAGCTCTTGTCCTGAGATTTGTGTGTGCACTGATCTGTAATGCTATTATTAATTATTATTTTGTTTTCCTTTTGTACCAGGAACGAGAACGTCCGCGATCGCGAGGCACCCCATCACCGTCACCATCCATGTCCGTGAGTCGCCAGGAGAGTCTGGTGGGCAGTATGCACGAGCGGCAGTCGCCAGGTTGGAGCTGGTCATTCCATGTGAGTTGTTGACCTGTATGGGGATTTATGGAACTGATATGATTATAAATGTTTTATGCCCGTCTGACACATTGTAAGTCATGCAGGATGCAGGCTGCTTGTAGTCTGTCTGACAAGGTCATCACAAAGTGTTTAGGGCTGCCCTGACTCTGTTCAAATCATTAAGAAAGCAGGCTGCTTCAACCCAACCCTGCCTATTAGAGCTGTTCCAAAGTGTAAGGGGGTAAATCCCAATAGAGAGACAAAAGTCTGCAATAGATTGTCTATCCCACATGGCCATCGAATTCAAGTCTATTGCGTGGGAGGTGAAGACCATAACACCACAGCTGTTAAACTTCGGGAAACTTTTTGTCTTCCTCAGTTATGGTCCAGCAACACTTGGAGATGCAAGCCCTTGGTTTTTTCAAGATACATCAGTACAAATTTAGTGTTGGATGCAACACCATTTTGCAATTTAGCCTTTGTTGGAGTTTTGCACAGAGCCATGAAAATGAAAATTGTAGAATCTGGACAGCTTGAAGCTAACTACCAGCTGCCTGTCCATGTTGGGATGAATACTTACTTTACTTTTACTTTTTCATCCTGTGTTGCTGTCAAGGGGCAATGCAGTTCTCTATGGTTGGCCAGCTCCGCCGCTCTTTCAATTGGGATATTATAATTTCTTAGGGTTTCCATGACTTCCTCAATCCATACTTTGTGAGGCTTTCCTCTTCCTTTTTCTCCTGAGTGCTTGGTGTTATACACTCCCGAGGCTGGCTGGCTGGCTAGATGGGAGGAATGCAGAGGTTTTGTCTTTCTTTTGTGAAGTGTTATGGTTAAGTGTTTGAGTATAGTTTTGTGTAAGCAACAATATAATGGTCATTTAGCACTATAAAAAAGTCAGACAGACAGATAGAACAATTGGAATGAAGGGAAAGTAGGGCTTCCAAGACCCGTTCAAACCAACTTTATATCAGTCCAGGGTTTTGTTGAGATTCTTTAAATGTGCAGTTGGGGAGGGTTGGAAGCTTGTCTCCTCTCTTAAGTTTATAAGTTCAAATGTTTTCCTTTAGACATGTGAAAGTTCTGATGCTGTCATTTTTGTTACATTCCTGTTGCGAGGACACAGCTGTTGTTTTCATTGTAAATGAATACTTCTTTTGAGGACTTTTTTTAAGAAAGCAAATCTTTTTACTATGTATCTTATTAGGACACCTGTTGAGAACCCAGATCTTGTTTTCAATACTCTTGTCCTCTCTGTCTGTGTCCAGGCTCTGTGGTCTCTGACTGCTGTGTCTGCCAACATAGACCTCAATGTCTCACACCAACACCTTCTCTCTGATCCGTACAGGAGGATGCAGAGGCTGGAGGGTCGGCGGGTACTCTTGGAAAGTCCAGTGTGTACGACAGTCTGCGACACTCGGGCGCCGCTGTGGTGGTGGAGAATATGCAAGCCCAGCTCAAGCAGAAGGAAGGGGAGATCACACAACTGCAGGTTAGTTGTCTCACTCCTCCAAGCCATCAGTACTTGCACAGTAGTCTGTTCCCACTAATACTGG